TCTAGTGAAGATTGCAGTGACAGAAACAACAACAAAAACAGGAGAAACAACAGCAGCAGAAACAACGGCTGTCATCAACGTCTCTTCCTGTGCATTGCCAAGGTGTGTGTGTGTGTCTGTGCTCTCTCTTTACATCTCCTCTCATTAGCCATGCCCATGGCTCCGCTTATTTACTTTCTAAGTTTTATCTTCTCTCAGTTTGTTTTTTTTTGCTTTCGCCGCTCTGCATCCATCTTGTCCTGCCCTGCGCAACTCTCTTCTCGTCTTACTTTATTCGCTTCATCGGGCTGCTGAGTGCTGTCCCTGTCCCCCTCCCCCCCCCACTAGCTTTTCCGCTTTCGGCTCTCACGCTTCCATCAGTTGCAGTTTCGCTGCCGTGCTGCTGCTGCACCTCTGCTGCTGCTGTTGAGCTATTTATAGACTAACTTTATTAGTTTTTTGCTGTCTTCTGTCTGCTCCATCTCCTTTTTCGCCTCGTCTCGGGTCCCATGCTGGACTTGTAGCTCTCCGCTGCCACTGCTGTTGATGAACCTTTGAGGTGTTCATTCTCTCGCTCTCTATGTCGCCCTGCCATGGAAAAGAAAAAGCTTTAATACTGAGTAGAGGGTATTCATGCCAGCTAAGTATATTCCCATTTTGCAACCCTCAGGCCATGCATTCCCATTTTTACGTTGCTTTGGTTAAATAAATTTCCATAAATTTGTACTTACGATTACGAGGTCCGGTTCCATAGCGGTTTCAGAAGCAGCTTTGGGCTCTTTCTTCTTTGCCAAGTTCCGCTTTTGGGTTGAATTCGCTTGATTCAGATGCGGACACACATGATTTGTCTCTATGAAAGTTTGATTGAATATGCAAATCGGGTGTGGAAGATCATCAACCGTATGAGCATCACCAGCGTCAACTGAAAGTGCAAAATTCCAACAGAGGAGTCCCCTTTCGTATAAACTTTTGTGCTCGACAATTGACCTGCTCGACCGTTGGGCTTCCCCCTTCTCAAAACGACTCTCAATTGGCGACTGGCCGACCGGCGACTGCCTTCCCCCTGAGCGGAAGCGTGTTAAACGTGCGCTTAAAAAAGAGCATTTCGCATTTTCGAAGCATTTCCAATGCGAAAGTGTGAAATGAAAGGAAGTTCCTCTATACCCCGACTATCCATGTCTGCCCCCTTCACAGCGCTCACCTCTCACGCTGTGCATTTCCTGCTGCTGTATCTGTAAAATGTGCGGGGCAGTATTCTGTCTCCGACAACAATCTGTCAGCAATATCCTGCATCCTGGGCTACGCAAAACTGAGGAAATTGTTTGGAATAAGCAATTGAAAACACTTTACCAGGTGGTAGGAGTAGAAGCAGAAGCTTTGGTAGGAGCAGTAGCAGCAGAATGAATAATAACAAAAGCTGTTGCGAGGATTTGTGGATCATCTGCTTTTCAGTCAGTTAAATCTAAAGCTAAAGCTAAAGGTTATTCTTCGTGTTCAACCATTCTTGATTCTTCATCAATCACTGCGACTAAGTATCTTTTATCTTTCGCCAGGCATAACTGTCTTTTCTTTGTGTGTCCATCTCTCTCTCTCTTGAGAAGTGTCTTTTCAATCGCTGGCTGATCGTTGGGTTTCAGAGCAGAGCCAGTGAACTGCTGTCATGCTCCTCGGAGTCCGTTAAAAGTTCTCTAGTCTCGTATCTATACATGGCTACCCTCATGTCGCGATCTACTGCTGTGCCCCTACCTGCCTTCAAGTCTCGAAAGTTTTACAGTTGCTCAGAACCGAACATCGGCGCAGAACGGAACGGAACTGATGTCGCGTTTTGTGCTTTTACTTTGCATGATGTGATGCACAGTTATGAGTGGATGCTGGCACAACAACAGTGGGATAAAGAGAGAGAGAGAGAGAGGGGAGATGGTGGCGGTAGGAGATGAAGCACAGGTAGAGGTAAAGGGGTACTCTTGTTGTTGCTCTATTAACTTGCTCGCGCTAATGGCCAAGATATTTAAGTGATCCACAGCAGAATGAGAACTACTACTGGAGAGAACCGGAAGTGCCTGCTAATTGCCTGCCCCTGCCCCTAGTACACCACCTGCTCCACCACTTGACACATGAATCTTTTGTTTATATTTTTCGAGAAGCAAATATAATTATTTTCCTACTGTGTTATTTATATATATTTTGGTGCGGGCATCCGGATATCGATCGAATAGGGCAACTTAACACACATAAGCTCCGTTTTCCCCCAGTTTTCTTACTCTGAACTGTAACTGGTAAACAAAATTCAATTCCAGTTTCAGTGAAATATTAATTCCCAACGAGGTGCGTGATTAATGTACAAAAATGTAAACAAAATTCAAAATCCAATGACTTATGTACTAAGAGCTAAGAGGATCGAACCGATTGTGTCTGCCTAAAAGTGTTAAGAGCAAAGTGGGGATAACGTTAGTCAGACGTCTTCCACATTCCATCCGCCAATGGAAAGATGCGCTCTACCCGATAACCGATAATGTGTTCCGTAGAAAGAAGGAACGCAACGAGAGAGAAAGAGATAAATGTGAAAACGCAAACTAACAAACGATTTTTAAAGAAATGAACAAAAAAAAGGTGATAATCATAAATACGGTGACGCATCGACGCTCCACAACCCCCCGCCCCACTTTGTTCACCTTCCGTTTTCTTCCATTCCGTACATCATTCATCTCTCCGTTCGGTGGAGATCGAAATCCGTTTCGGAGGAATCCCAGTGACCGCACACCCGCACACAGTGGGCTTAGCCGCACGTTTGCCGAGAAAAAAAAAATCTCTTAACGCATTCTGCGAATTCTCAACACTTCAAAGATAGACGAAAATTGAAATTCACATGAATACAATTAGCTTGACAACCGTCTCTATCCATATATCTATAATTTGTTATCGCTTGTCGAACAACTAATCAAACATTCTCCCATCTGGCTCCACTGTGCCCCCGGTGTCAAAAGGGAGACATATGGTAGCAGCAACAGCGTCGGCAGAGTGGCGACTGCGACGGTGGCTTATGACTCAAATTGTTGGTATGCCCCTCCAGCGATGACCTGCTGCCTGTTTCTGCCGACGCCGCTGCCGCTGCCACTGTCACTATCACTGCTGCTGGTGTCTAATGGTTCTTGGAATTGCGGTAGTGCTGCTGCCGCAACCCTGTAATCAACTTATAGCATAAAAATAAAGCTTAAAAAACTCAAACAAAAAATAGCTGAAGGCATTCTGCTCTGCCCTTGCCTAGTCTACGCTTTAAAAAATAAATCAATATATTTTTCATTCAAATATACATATCTTGAAGATTGGATTCAAGTTGAGAACAGAAATGAGACATCTAAAACCGAATTCCAATTCAATATTGACAAAACTAAAATCTTCTAAGACATTTACATATGTGAACCATGATGCTACTACATATATGTACTTACAAAATAGATTCAAAGATATAGCTTGAAATTAGTCAAAAAGGCATCACTACTGCTGCTGCTGCAACGCTTGGTTCAATACACTCGTACGCTAGCAGCGCTGGAGCAGCAGTGGAGCTGCGGCTATCAACCGATGACGATGACGACGTCGGCGCCGACGACGACGACGGTGGAGCCTCTGACGGACGCGATCGAAGTGCCGCCACCGCCGCCGTCAGTCGTCAGTAATGGGGGAAACTTTGAACGCAGCGGAACGTCGCGAATAGAGCTAAATAAAAGAACAAAAATCAAATCAAAGAAAAGAATAGCAGAAGCAAAAGAAAGGCAAAGAAAAAAGGAAGTGATAAGCGGTGGATATTTTGTTGTTTTTGAGGGTGTGCGTTCTCAATCGGTGAATGATCCAAGCCGATCCTCTGAATAAACGAAGGATATACAGCTGCGATACGACCCGATCCGATACAAGGATGGTGCATCTTTACCAGCGACGTCGCAGCCGCGAGCAGGTGGGTGGGGAGGGGATCCGGAGATCCGTTGGAGTCGGCACGCGTCATCTATCCTCAAAACAAATGTGGAAGTGGAAGTGGAGGTGTGGAAGTATCCGTGTGTATCTGTCTGTGTGTGTTTGGGAGGTAGCAGCTTCGTGTCGTGCCTGGCATGCGGATTGTCTAATTAATTTCCCATTGGAATTGCGCTTGAACGAATGAATGAATCGAAAAGCTTATGGAATTTGTACCATGGATAGGGAAATGTGTCTACACTCTTATCATGGAATGAGGTAGATACAGAGAGAATTGTGTAAACATTCACTGTTTGGATAGATGCCAGAGGGAGAAAGAGAGACCCATTCATTTTTTTAACAGGGGAAGATTATTTTGCATTGCTTTGAACTGCTTCGAAACGTTCGGGTATCGTGGGGAAACGAGGTCAAGAGTTTGTTGCTGAAACTTGCATTTTTCGTTTGTTTGTTGCACCCCAAAAGAAGCCGAAAAAGCAGCACATGAACACAATGACACGAAACTCTGTTGGCAATCAAACTAATTATTTAGCATTCCCGGAAGTATCCATTGGGGATACAGAGAACGAGAGACAAAGACCTCCGATTGGATTTAATGAAACACCGGTGAACACATTGCAACAGGAAATTACCATCCTTGTGTAATGTGATAGCAACACTTTTTTAAAATTCCAGTATCCCCCTGGTACGGATCATCGAATGAGTAATTTTTCTCAAAATAATAGCCAGCAATGATCGACTGATTAATGATAGACACCTAATAACTACACTTGATGGCGCATCGCGTATCGCATGTCACGACATGTTGATGGAAATTTCTCATTCTTTGCTCGGTTTGCATCATCATCATCTTTCGAATTCGCAATTTTATTCATTTGGTATAATAAAAACAGCAAGTGTATGTGCAACTCCTCCTCCTAAGAGACAACACGGCAATGAAGAGGGTCGAACATCGAATGAGATGTCCCACAACTTTTGTATTTTATCGATCGAATGGAATGCAATAGGTTCTTAAATTCTTACAATTTTCTCATGCATTCTTGTCTTTTTTATCTTTTTAGGCTGTAAAACAATTCATAGATCTCTGCAACAATCTTGGTGCCACAACAACAGCAGCAACAGGGACATTGACCACATCCACATCCACATTATCAGCTGTCTCTGCTTCTGCCTCTGCCTCTGCCTCCTCCACAAACTCCGACAGCAGCACACAGATATTGGCGGGAGCTGCCGCCCCACTGGCCTTCACGGTGCCACCAACAGAAGCTGCCACAGCAGGAGGAGGAGAGGGGCCCCAGCTAGCGCCCACCATAGCCAGGCGACAAATTTCACACACAACAGCAGTCAAGTTTTTGTACGCCCGTAAATTTGACATACCACGAGCCGTGTCGCTTTACGAACAGCATGAGCAGATCCGCCAGAAGGAGTATCTATACAACATCGATCCGGATGTGGAGCCACTACGCTCCGAGCTGCAGACTGGCAAATTCACAATCCTCGTAAGCATCTATCAATCCATGCTCTGAGTGCGGTCCGAACTTAACGCTTTTCTATTTTTCTCTTTGCCGAACAGCCCGCTCGGACATCCAGTGGAGCAGCGATTGCCCTGTTCACCGCCAATCGACACAGTCCGTTGAGTGTGGGGCATACGACGACGCTGCAGGGGATCGTCTACCAACTGGACAGCGCACTGCAGGACACGGAGACACAGCGTGCGGGATTGGTGTTTATCTACGACATGAGCGGCTCCAAGTATTCAAACTTTGACTATGACCTCTCCCAGAAGATACTCACCCTGCTAAAGGTGAGTCGGAAATGGAATCCAAGATCGAATAGATTCCCCTTCTCCATAGGAACAGATTTATGGAAAACATCGTCAACGGAAACTGCAATTAGAAAGCGAATTTTAGCTGATTCTTTTGTAAAACAGAAAGTACAGATTAGTGCATTGATACATCATCTTTGTATTTGCCCATTCCTATCTTCATTATTTATATGAAGAATCGTCCTAGAACAACTCTCCGTTGAGTCTTTAAGTTTGTAGAGCTAATTTGCATGTAGACACTCGTATCTAGGGCAAATATTTCCCATCATAAGTCAGGCTCTTGCTTGCGTACCTTCAATGTCAGCTTAGGCGACTTCTCTTGGAGTTGGTTGGTAGAGTGTGCCCCATTTCCGGCCTACTCGCGTGTATCGTGTGTCGACGCCACTCCAATCTGAGCTTGCCCCTAAAAGTCACGGAGCGTGGCCCCTGGAAATTACGAATATTAAAACATGATGTTGTCTCCTATTAATATTCCCATATGCTGCTGCAGCTATTTTGTCGCAGCCCGTGTTTTACCTGGGGCATGTGCATATCTGCGTATCTGTGCCACGGGGAGCGAGCTGACTTTGACTGGGCGGATTTATTCTCCTATCAAACAAAATGGTTGTGAAATGTCTTCAAGCTGAAGATTTCTGTTTCGTTTCGTTGGCTTTTCATGTCATGCGTCTAATTTTTTTCATTTTCTTGCATTTGTTGGGTGGGGGGAGTGAAACGATTTGTGGTACAAGGAGTGGAAAGGGGGAGAGTGCTGGAAAACATGCAAATTAATCTACTAAATCGTCTACTGCTTGTTTGCAGCCCTGTTAGTGGCTGAAGATCATTTCTGTTAGCCAACAGCCAATTCACCTTCTGCTAGTTCTTCTCTTTCTCTGCTCTGTTAACAGTTTGTCTTAACATGGAATGTTACCGTCTGTTCTCACAGTTACGGTTAACATGACAATGTTACACGAATTTATTCTTTCTGCTAGTTTACATTTCAATGTTGATTTACACTGCCCCTCCATTCCCGTGCTCTGCTGCCAGAGGCTTACATTTTTCTGTAAGCTTACTGTTTCCATCTGGACCGACTGTCGAGAGTCAGCTTTTGGTTCCCATAGAAACGGAAAGACTCAGAAATCCTTCCTCGAGCAACACCCACAGAGAGCAAGAGAGACACAGAGAGTGAGAGAGAGGGAGAGAGAGAGAAGGAGCACTCGCTCCCAGCGTCACAGCAGCAGAGCAGCATCAACCGGGCGGTGCGTGGGCGTTGATGCCTTTCTGTGTTGGCGACAGCGGTGGCGGTGGCGTCGGCGTCCCTGCCCACGCAAGTGCTGGGCAGATGGCAACAACAACAATAACGGAATAAAAGCTCAAATTACTCTACCCTTAGTCAGAGTAAGACGTAATTTTCATTGGGGACAACCTGCTTGTGCCTGTCTGCCCCCATTTCCCCCCTAACTCTTCCGCTTACCCGTACCGTATCTCCTCCGTGTCTGCCTCCCCTAGCTGCTTGTCAGTCGCTTATTTGCATACAGTGGCGGCAGAAAAAACAACAACAGGTAGCTGTTATCGCTCTTGTTGTTGGCAGCTTTGCGGATACTCTACTATTTAGGGTGTAAGGCATCGCGATATGTCGTTGGCGAAAAAAAGATTTGTATTTTCAAAGACTTATTGCTGTAATAAGAAGCTTAGATACATAATTACATACAATTACCAAAGCTACTCATGAAAATGGTAGGGTATCAAAATTACGGTGCCCCGGAGTGATTTTCTTTCCTTTCTTGTTGTTTTCCATCTCATTGGCTGCCGGCTGCTGGCCCCCGCTAAGCCGAAGCACACTTTTCCATGATCTTTGTTTTGTTGTTTACTTTACAATTGCGTTTTATTTTTTCCCGTCCAGTGTACCGTTGCGGCTGGGGATCATTAATACGAGGAGTAAAGTGGGTAAGAGGGAAAGGATGAAAGAGAGAGAGAGAGAGAGAGCGAGCTGGCATCGCCGGCCGGCTGACTGCGGGGGCAGAGCTTGCTTTGCTGTTGGGTCAGGGAGGCCTTCAAAAGGTATATGGATATACATAGCTTTACGTTTGTATGCGCGTACATTTATACATAAATACTGGCATAATCAACCCACATATGTATATATTCGTGTTTTTAATTCCATATACAATATAACTCAGTACGAAATCAAAACGCACATAAAATAAAGTTCACAATGAAAATGATTTGCGTGGGCGCTCTCTCATTCACTTACTCTCTCTCTCTCTCTCTCTCTCGCGCTCTCTCTCTCTCTCTCTGCCTTGGTTTCATTCCCTATTGAAACGCAAATGGAACACCATCACAGCTGTGGGAAGGTATATTAAATAACAGGTGAGGCAGAGTTGCCTCGATGTGTAGAAAGAGAGCTGATTACGTTACCTTCACATTTCACACAGCCACATATGCTGTACCTTTCCTGAAGCGTCGACGTGTGAGAGAGCTGGCTAGTGTGGAGAGAGCTTGAGCCTACAAGCGAGTGCATAGGTGTTTGTACTCATTGGCACGCGTATGTGCTAGTGTTTGCTGCTGAGCGAGACAAGGCGACAGGCATGTAGGCGGGAAAAGATAAATAGCTGTTAATCTCTCCCTCTGTCTCGCTGGAACAGGGTCCCTCAAGGGGTTGCGTATGCGCGATATATTCCACCAACATCACGCATACGCAACATTTTGGGCCTTAAGTGGCAATGGAATGCATACAAAATATCAGAACAGATCGTCGAAGTGAACATAAATACATACATATGAACATTGTGTACATTGGTGTGAGTCATATGCCTACGCTTTTTCACTCTCACTTTTTAGTCATTCGAAAGAGGGCGAGGGAGAGCAGACGGAGACCAGCCAGCGAGCAAGTGAGCGTGCCAAAGCTCGCTCTCACTTTGCTGCTGCCACTCTCTCTCTCTCCCACACTTATCGTGCTTGCGCTCTCCTGCTCTTTCCGCCGTGTGTTTGCTTGACGGCGCTACGTGAATACGTCGCTTGTGGCTATCTTTTGCCTGATTAACTAATTCAGTTGACGTGTTCTAGTCGTCGTTTATAGATTGTATCCAAAAGTCCACACAGCACCAGACAGCAGCAACAGAGAAGAAGAGAGAGGAGATCAGCAAAAGAAGAAGTAGGCGAAGAAGAGAAACACAAAGAAGCGAAACATGTGCGTGTGTTGAATTATTGTTGTGAAAAGCATTTTCCAATATGGGAAAACCATTTCCGATACGCGATACGAAACGAAGCGAGCGCGTGTGTTTAAAATATTTAATAAATATACAGAGTAGTGCTTTTATTTCACTTGTGCGATGTTCTGAGTGTTCAGGGTTCTTTTCTGCTTGCACTTGGCCCAAAATCACTTGACCAAAAACTTGATTGACATATGGGATAGACACTCTTTTTGAGATATTTATAGTAACAACAGAGAGACAACAAGAGAGGAAGACAGACAGGGAGAGAGAGAGAGAGAGGAATTTCATTCATTCACTCACTCAAAATGGGTTCCAATACGATTTGTGTGTTATTTTTACAACGTGCTTTTATTTGATTCTTTTTGTTGTTTTTGCTCCTCGACTTTGACGTAAATGTTGATATATGTATCTCTTTCTATCTCTCTTTCCATACCTTTGTGTGTGCTTAAAAATGCAAATTCGATCAAGAAACAAGGGAATTGTTTGTGTACCCCCACCACTACCTCCGCTATTTAGATGTTGAATCGGAATCGGAATCGGAATCAAACAATTACTTGGTGGTAACCCTGACACAAGTCTCACCCCCTCCCATTCCCTGATCAGTGGACTGGCTCTATAATCTTATTGGAGATAACTTTAGATTGATTTTTGTGCAAATCAAAGCCAATTAAATGTTAGGCCTTTTTCTATTGGTGAGCCCTGGCAACCCTGTTGTCACCTTAAGGGTAACGGTAGCACGATTGTGACTTTTCGTTTCAAAATAAGAAAATCTGGAAATGTTTTTTTTGTCGTATTGAGTAGCCATGTGTTAACCACTGTGTCATAGACAGCGAAGGCAACCCTGGCAGCAAGCAACCACCACCCACTCAACACAGCAGCAAAAGCATAAGCAAAAGCAGCAGCAGCTGCAGCGACAACAGAGCCACATGCAACCTTGCAGCAGGAACAACGAACAACCCCCACAGTGCGAGTAGCAGTATTCTCTCTTATTCTCTGGCTGGCAGTGGCAGGCAGCAACCCTATGCCGCTCTCTGGTGGCTCGTGCCGTCAGAAAGAGAGAGAGAGAGAGAGCGAGAGATTTGAATGTCGCTGGGGGAGGGAGCGGAAGCGGGAGAGGGTGACCGAGGTGGTGGCAGAGAGCGCGTGCGCCGAGAACGCAGAGCCGCAAATACAAAAAAAAAAGCAAAAAAGCAAAAAAGCGAAAACGAAACGAAAAAAAATAAAGGCAGCCGCCGGAGCAGCAGTCAGACGTAGTTCAGCTTTCCACGACGAGACGACGCGCGAGACGAAACGATATTAATATTCAAATATTCATTCGATATTCAATCGCTATTCAGAAACTATTCGGCTACTCAAGATACTCAACAACGGGGCAGGCGCTCCTAATATATAATTGTAAAATAAACCTCCCCTCGCCACAAAACCTGATCGAATTTTTTCCAAGTGCAAAAACGGAACACACAGTGACTGCCAAAAGAAAACCCACGCACACACGCTCGCTAGCGTTACCTTTCTCTGTCTGTGTCTGTGTCTGTGTCGGTGTGTGTGTGTGTATCTACAGAAACAAAAATTTTGGTTTTTAGTTTGTTGAATGTTTTGACAGCCGCATCATCAGCAGCAGCAGCAGCAGCAGCAGCAGCAGCAGCAGCAGCAGCAGCAGCAAAAAAACAAAGATACAATACCCACAAGATTCGGCTCGTCGGGGGAGAGAGAAAAGTATCTACAAGTGCAGGTCCACCTGGCCATAAGACCATGAGCAAGAACCCCCCCACCAAAAGAAATTGAGAG